TACAAATATAAGTGTTCGCTCAGGAAATTTTGTGTGAAGAATTAGGTAGTTTTTTCATAGTTAAGGGTCAAACAACGAATAGAGAGCGAATCAAGTGCAGTGGAAACGCCACATTAGGCAATTTGCAATTAATTGGGAAAATCTATGGAACAGAATTTTAAAACCCAAATTTTGGATTTTTCAAACTTTTATTTGTCATTTTGTTTCTATAAATGTGTTTTTAATATTAACATAGTAATGTCATAAGCTGTTATTCTAGATAGTATAGACACAAAGCATTTGCTCAGAATGCATTTTGTCTAGTGTTTACCATTTTATGTTTTAGTGTTTTATTTAGGGGTTAAAATGGACCAAACACTGAAAAATTTCCTGATTTTGCAGTTGCTCTACAGGTCGCAATTATAGACCAATCGACGCGGAAGTAAGCATGAGGTTAGAGCTTAGGGCTGGGCAGAAGCCTTCCAATTTCGGGTAATGTTTAGTGGGTGAATAGCCCATAACATTTGTGTTAAATAAAAGTCAAATTTTTGATTAAACCGAGAATATTTTTAATCCAGGCGAAATCACAAATAGACGAACAGGACAATTCTGGCCGTTACATAGATGCCGATAGTAAATCTATCGGATATATAGCGACATTCATACAATGTATATATACAAAGGAAGGGGATATTAGCTAGAATGCTTATATCTCAAGAATGGCTGGACCGATTTTGACAAATTTTGTCAATTCAGAATGCCCTCTTGGCATAAAAGTATAAAATCTAAAAAAAATTGCATAAAAATATGTCATTAATGATGTATATAGATTTTGTAGTATTTTGTGACATTTTTTATATTTTCATATTTTTTATCGCCTGCGATTTTTTCATTTGGACTTATACTATTGAAGTGCATATTTTGTTATATTTTTTCAACTTACAACACAGTTTGGGATTATTATATACAGATTGCAATTATCGTCCGATCCTCACGAAAATTTTCACACGGGTAGGGTTAGGTTCAGAAGGGCTAGGCGTATAGTTTTCAAAGATGTCCGCAATATATTTAGGGGTTGAAATGGACCAACAACTAATAATGTGTTTAATTTTGCAGCTGTTATAAAGGTTAAAAATAGAAACCAAAGGACGAGAAGTCTCGCTTGAAGTTAGAGTTAGGACAGCGCGTAGAATGGACCACTACTTTTGTGTGAAAAAAACCAACATTACTAACGGGCGATATCCGAAATACACAAAAGGCGAACTTCTGGCTTTTTTATGCTGATTTCATTGACGAATATAGCCAAATATCGTAGACAAGAAAATCATATAGATGAGTCTAAATTTGGAGATACAGAGGGGACTCTTGCTTTTGGAGATGATCACAAAATATTTAGGGGTTCAAATGAACCAAAAACAGAAAAATGTTCCTGATCACACAATTGAAACCAATCGACACAAATGTTTGCATGAGAAGAGAGTAAAGGCCAGGAAAAAGTCTAGCATTTTGGATGACCATTGGATTATATTCAGCTGTAAATTGACCACAACAACTAACAGCACGAAGGAGTGCGTAATTATTGGGCAAATATCTCTGGTTGCTAAGGTAATATGTGGACAGTGCTCCATTACAAAAACGAAATATTCCAAAATGGATTTAGACATAAGGGGGCTTCTATCATATTGTAGTGTTGTAGGGTATCACATAGTGGGCCCCGCACGACTATAGCCTTTGCTTAATTGCTTTTTTTTTTTTTTTGTTGATAAATTTTACTGCATTATGGAAACGGTCTTAGTGGTGTATGAAGTTTAAAGTGAAACACGCTTTTATACAAAAAGTGTTTCCCTTAACATAATGTGGAGGGTATTGAAAGTTCGTATTGAAATTGTGAGTATTGAAAGTGCGAACTTAATGTTTTTTACTTGTTTATATTAACATACCTCTGTCTTGAGCTATTTTTCTAGGTAGTATAGACACAAACCATTTGCTCAGAATGCATTTTGTCTAGTCTTTACCATTTTAGGTCAGTTGTTGCGAATGCAATTTGTCTATTCTTTACCATTTTAGGTCTTTGCTTTGTACCTCTACGAAGAAGCCAGTAGATGACTTAAGCCTATCGAAATAGCCTTTTATGTACTCTTACCTTAAGGTATATTATTGAGTTAGAACAACTAATATTTTAACAAAAACAACATTGTTATAAAACTAAATTTGCCATTGAAAAAGTTTAAATAATGGGCTTCTGTCAAAATGGTTAAATCTTTGACATATTTTATTATAATTAATTAACAAACAAATGGAAAACAACTATTCTACCTTATTAAATGTACCTTGGATAAATCTGGCTGAATAAATGCGGATAGTTAATAAATCACAATAATCAGGGTTACCTGTATAAACATTTCTATTTAAATTTATATATTTTGATAAAAAAATGTCCCCAAAAGTTTTTGAAACACTGATCCATTCCATATACAAATGTCAACATTTACATGAAATCTTTTATCAAATACATGTGCAGCCTAGTTACTCTGACTCATAATTTTACAAAAAAAAATTAAAAAAAAAAAAAAAAAAAAACTTATCTAATCATTCAACAAACGGTATCATATCGACGTGGAGGTCCTCAGTTTGTTTCTAATCTCAATAAATGCAAACAATCCTACAGTTTGTCATCTACTTTTTGCAAAACGAAAAATTAACACAATATTAAAAGAAATGCCGTTTTGGAAAGTTATTAAATTAATATATGATGTAATTTCATTTAAAGCGTTCCTAAAAAAATTGATTTTGTTTTTTTTTTTCATTCTTGGAAATATTTCTTTACAAGTTTTTTAACTTCTGTGCAGTAGGTCCCGGATGGAGTATATATATAACTGATTTTGTCCCTTAAGACGTAGGGTCTAAAACCGTTACAGTTTGTAGGAATGAAGCCAAAAATTGTTTAATTTTTTGGTGAAAAAGTGAACTCAAAGTCCCATACCAAATCGGTCAGGTTTTCGAGCTTTATAGTATGATCTAAAATTTTATTATCTAGGACGAGGGTTTCGACACATCCAGTACATCATTTTTTCTCATTTTTTAGAATTTGTATACTGTCCACCATTCTATGGAGGGTATATTAGCTTTGTCATTCCGTTTGTAATTCCTCGAAATATTCATAATACACCCTACAAAGTATATACAGGGTGAGATAAAAAAACTACAACAAAGTCAAACTCCATATTTTTTACATTTTTTCTAAATTTTATTAAATGAAAGGAACAAATGTCGGAAATAACATCAAATTTTAGAATAAGTTTAGATTTGTTTGAATTGGTCATCTTTTGGGCGAATTATGGTCTTTAAACGCAAGTGAAACCGTCACACGCTGCCCGAATGTTGCTCTGCAGTATTTTGGCCCATTCCCGGCGAAGCGCTTGCTTGAGGTGATCGACACTTTGGTATTTTTTAGTGCCAACCTTGCTTTCTAAAATACTCCAGACACAATAGTCCAACGGATTGGTATCCGGAGATTTTGGTGGCCATTGTGAGCTGGAAATGAAGAGAGGAACCTCATTTTGTAACCGTTCTTGGGTAGCGCATGCTGAGTGCGATGTTGCTGAGCCCTTTTGTATGTCCAGGGTCTGCGGGCAATATGTTTGCGTGCCCAAAGCTTTAATACACCCTCCAAATATTTTCGCAGTAATATTCGACATTTATGATGCCACGGTCGATTAATACAAGCGGAGAGCGACCATCGGCTGTTTTGGCGGCCCACACCATCACCATGGTCGGCGCTTGAGTTCTGGTGGCCAACAAAAGGTGCACATTTTCATCTGACCTCTTTGGCAAGTAAACACGATCATTTTGTTTGTTTACAAACTGCTGGACAACTAGTGTTTCCTCATCGGAGAAAACCAAGTTAGGCAGTTCACCACTTTCGGCCAAGCGAAGCAACTCTTTAGCACTTTTCTATTTTCTTTCAGTTGCGGTGCAAGTTCTTGCACTTTTTGTAATTTCGATGGCTTTACCCCGAGCTCATTTTTTAATATTTGCCGAATGGAATATTGCGATATGTTCAGCTTACGAGCCATTTTCGGCCACTGCGACACGGGTTTCGATCAAGACGCTTCTTTACTTTTCGAACCATTTCAGCTGATGTTGCTGTTTTCTTCCGTCCGCTTCCTCGACGTCGGGGCTACGCTACCTGTATCACGGTAACGAGCGATGGTACGAAACACAAAAAATGTATTCACATTTAAATGCTGGAGTGTTCTAACGATAGCCACTCACGAATAACTTTTGCTAGAAAATTCTCACCAAAATGCTTTTGTACGTTTGTAAACAATATCATAAGCTGTCACTGGAATAATGTTTACAGCTGTCGGACGAGTGGCTTAGAAATGACAGCAGTCTGAAGTTGGTTGCAGTGTTTTTATCTCACCCTGTATATTCTTGATCAGCGTAAAATTCTAAGACGATCTTGCGATGACCGTCTGTCTGTCTGTTGTAATCACGATATCGAATCATATGTAATCACAATATCGAATCACGCTAAAAGAATTGAGATAGAAGGCTACAATTTTGCATACATGCATATTTTACCAGTATGCAGGTTAAGTTCTTAAATGAGCCATATTCACGGTCAACGTTATTCGGTATTTTCATGATTTCAGCGACATTATTTACCGGAATTGTTCATTTAAGTGGTAGTTTTGGGAATTTTTTTTGATTTATTTTTAAGTTCCTTTCAAATGGTGGAGGGTATTCAAAGTTCGGCCTTAGTTGATATTCATAACTCAAGATTATAAAAGTCCTCATTTGCAAACATTTATTTAACAAACTGTATGTACGTGTACTTCGCAGTGAAGTGTTAATTGCGAAAAACCCCTATGTTTTTTCATCATACTCAGCCCATTTTTATTTTATTATTTTATTATCTAAACAATTGGCATGCACACATTGTTATCGATCGATGACAATTCCATCTTAAAACCGTATTTTCTAATTCATGTTCTCTCCCTCTGACTTTTTTTTAGAACTCAGAAACCGGCGAGGTTAGCTATATTCAAACGGATGCCGACAAAGTCCAACAACTGAGCTATGACGCCGAAACGGGCGAACCCATCATTGGAAAAATAAGGGTGCGCTACATTAAGCAAAAAAACTTCCAGATACCAAAAAAACTGCTACGTGGCTCACCATGCGAAGAATTCGAAAAGGAAATGCTCGGTCGCAGTGAAGAGATATATCAGGAACCATGCGCCAGTATTAGCAAAGAGCCACCAGCATCAACGGTACAAACTGTCAAACCGAAATTGAAATGTAAAACAAAGACCTACAATCGTGATGACTTCATCAATATGGAAGGTGTTTCTAATGTAAGTGGATGCGATCTCCATAGTAATATAAATAAATTATGGGATATTTGTTTTTTTCTTTATTTATTTATATACCCTCTACCATACTACGGAGAGTATATTAACTTTGTCATTCCGTTTGTAACCCCTCGAAATACTCATGTCGGACCCAACAAAGTATATATATTCTTAATCAGACGATGTCCATCTGTTTGTCTGTCTGTTGTAATCACGCATGGAAGGAATTGAAGGAATGTAGGCCCACGTTTTCATATAGCCCCCATAAAACGGTACCTCCCGATATTCGGTATCTTGATGATTCTAGCGACTTTATTCACTGTGAAATTGGAATTGTTTATTTCAAGTTTCGAATTTGAATATGGTTATCACAAACAATGCCTAGGTAGGTCTACGTCGTACAGATCCCAATATAACGATTATATTCGATATTTTTAAGATTTTAATAGAATTTTTAATGGATTTTATTTTTTGAAAATTTTCAAATTCGTACCAAATGGTGGAGGGTATTTTGCTTGATTCTACTTCCAGCAATTCATCACCTATACCTAATCTTCCTTCATCCAATCCCTCTACGTCAAATAATCCAATTAGTTCATACAGTACTTCCGTTAATGATGTACCTCCTACCAGGCTTGAACACCTAACAAACCATGATCCTGAATCAGTCGTCAATCCTTCTTCTCCTTATAACGTAACCCCTGTTGAGGTTATCCTTACTGCCGTCCCACCAAAAAGAAGCATTTTCATTTCAAGACTTCCAGCGGATACCACTACTGAGACAATTGACCGTTACATCATATCTAAAATTGGAAAATTTAATGATATTAACATACATAAATTCAATTTTTCGCAACAACGTTCAATTGCATCATTCAAAATTACAACCTCTGATGATATGTATACTCGTCTTATTGATCCTGAGTTCTGGCCGAAACATACTATAGTTCGTGAATACGTATATAGAGAAAGACAAATGCCTAATAATAATGGTTACATTCATCAAAACTCTGTTAACTTTTCAAAAAACTAAACACTTTTTGTAATGATACATTATCTATTGCCTATCAAAACGTCCGCGGTATTCGATCTAAAATATCGAAATTGTATGTTGACAGTTTTACCTTTGAACATCATATCTTAGTAATGACTGAGACCTGGTTAAATGAACGTATTTTAAACTCGGAAATTCTGTCAAATAAATACAATATCTTTAGACGTGACCGTGTAAGCAACGGCGGTGGAGTGCTCATAGCTGTTTCCAATATATTTTCGTGCCAATTACTGGATCTTGATTCTTCCCTTGATATTGAGTTCATTGCTGTCGAAGTAAAAAACAATTTGAAAAAAATGTTTATAACATGCTCATATATTCCTCCATCATCACCGCAAATAATTTATGAAAAGCATAGCCATGCATTAAAAGCAGTTTTACAAAAAACTAAGCCAGAGGATCTAATTTGTATACTTGGCGATTTTAATATACCAAACATGTTGTGGAATTTTTTACCTGGGGATAAATACCTGCTGCCCGAAAATATACACAAATTTTATGAATTATTCTTCGATACACTTTTTGATCTTGGTATTTTTCAAATAAATTGTATCCGTAACACCTATAATAAGTTATTGGACCTGATATTTGTAAATCAAGTGGATGAATGTTACATTCAACGAATTGATCCGTTAACATTTCCCGAAGACCAGCACCATCCAACTATCAAAATTAATGTTTCGTTTCCTACTGGAAACCAAATCATACCCGTGACTCAAAGTGAGAAATCCTTATGTTTTTCGAAAACAAACTTTGAGCAGTTACGTGAACTTATGCATAACACAGACTGGGATATCCTTTTGTCTAGCACTTACGATTTAAATGGTGCTATCGATATTTTTTACAAAAAGCTATACGATTTTATTGATATTAGCGTACCGAAATATGTAATTAAGAAGCTTTCTGGGCCACCATGGAACTCTACAGCTTTGGCAAAGGCTAAAAATGTGAAAAATAAACAATATAAGAAATACAAAAAGACAGGATCTTCCATTGACTACGGAAGATATTCTGTAGCACGGTCTGAATATACTACTATGAATAATATTTGCTATTCAAATTATCTGACAAAACTCAAAAACAACTTTAAACAGAATCCGAAGTCTTTCTTCAAATTTGTCAATTCGAAGCGCAAATCCACCGATTTTCCACCAAATTTAAAGTATGATGATGCTGAATCCTGTGATATAAATGTTATATCTAACATGTTTGCAGACTTCTTCAGTACAACATATTCTACTAAAACATTTAGCGGCAACAACTACCCCTTCGAAATTAATACTAATCAATCAATATCTATTTCACTATTAAACAGCTCTATGGTTTTAAATGGACTGAAAACTTTAAAGTATAGCTATGATTTTGGACCAGATAATATCCCGAGTTGCATCCTAAGGAAGTGCGCCGATGCTTTTGTTTATCCTCTTACCATATTGTTCAATGCTTCCATAACTCAAGCTGTTTTTCCTGAGGTTTGGAAAACATCGTATATCATTCCACTCCAAGGCATTAGATAAAGTTAATCATAAATTATTACGATTAAAACTTAAAAACATTGGATTTACAAATAGAAGTTCCGAATGGATTTTTTCATATCTACAAAATAGAACACAAAAAGTATGTTTTAAAAACGCCATTTCGAAGAGTATTATGGTTTCTTCTGGAGTCCCACAAGGAAGTCATCTAGGACCAATCCTATTTTCTTTATTTATAAATGATCTACCTTCATCTATAAAATTTTCAAATATTTTGATGTATGCCGACGATGTGAAAATGTTTCTTAGCATTTCGGAGATATGTAAGAATCAGCTGCTTCAAAATGATTTGAATTCGTTTGTTAACTGGTGCAACATTAATCTTATGGAAATTAATTATTCGAAATGCAAACTTATGAGATTCACAAGAAAAAAATTATTGGATACTTGTTACACCCTCGGTGATTATTCTCTGGAAAAAGTTGATACATTCGTTGATCTTGGAGTTGTATTGGATTGTAAACTTAACTTTAAATCTCATATTTCTGTTTCTATAAACAAAGCAAAATCAGTTCTTGGTTTTGTGAAACGTTGGAGTAAAGAGTTTAAGGATCCTTATGTTTCAAAAAATTTATACATGTCAATTGTTCGCCCAATTTGGGAATACTCTTCGGTCATATGGGATCCAATTTATAAAACACACAGCGACCGCATCGAGTCTGTTCAAAAACAATTCCTACTTTTCTGTCTACGAAGTTTGAACTTTTCATATGATAATCTTCCACCATACACTGATAGACTCTCACTGATCAAGCTGCCAACTCTGGAAAGCCGTAGAAAAATGCTAAATGTCTCATTTCTTTATAATGTGATTATGGGTGATATTTCTGCTGGCTTTCTTGTTAACAACATAAATTTCAATGTTCCTCAACGTACTACCCGCCACTATGCACCACTAGCAATTCAATTCTCCAGGATGAGCTATGCAAACGCTGATCCTTTAACAAGAATTTCAAAAGATTTTAACGCGTTTTATAATTTTATCGATTTTACAATGGATATTAATACTATAAAAAGTAAAATAATAATGTTTTTAAATTCTTAATTTTAATTATACAATTATTTGTTATGTACATATATAGTCTGTAAGGAATTATCCATAGACTAATAGATTAAATAAATAAATAAAAACTGCTTCTTAACTTGATTTTTCTTTTTTTTTTTTTTTTTTTTTTTTTTGAATGTACAACTGTGACATATATGGGAGAAAAGCAGGGAATGAAGGAAAGAGTATTTAATTAAATCAGTATTTGCGAAGTAAGATAGTAGTTTGGAGAATGATTTAGCGCGACAAATTTGTGTAGGTGATGAAACTATAGGTCTTCTAGTTTTGCAATTTTTTCTTCGATATCATAAAGGAAAAATCGGTTATTGTAGAATTTTTTTTACATTTTTCCACTTCTACAACTGAGCGTCTTTGCTCTTTGTCAAAGGTATACATTTGAACAAATTGTGAGCATATGATTGCATAACTTTACCTTCTCATACTCTGCTCCAAACCCGCAAAAATCTAATAATTTTGCAATTTGTTTTTTCGATAACGTAAATGAAAAATGGTTTATCGTAGTAAACATTTTTACATTATTGCAATTCTGGAACAGACCACATGTTAAACATTGATAGCTCATACTGTCTTAGAAAAGATTAACATTATTTCAAATAAGCATTTCCATCTCTGCATTTTCAGTATTTGACCTGTCAAATTTAACTTCATTGAAAATCTCCGATCTGTGATTTGTGTATTTTCATAATCTTAAACCCTATGGGGGAAGGTACCAAAAGGAATGGTTCGATCTCTACCATTTTTATAACAGAACTTGTGTTGAGGGAAATATTGAGATGTGCCAAGTCTGAATGGAATCGGATGTTAAGTTCATGTTTTATGAGCTTCATAAATATTCAAAACTTCCACCCTTTGTGGGGGAGGTACCAGAAGGAATGGACCGATATATCCCATCTTCACAGCTGATCTTGTGTTAGTAGAAATGATGGTATGTGTGAAATATGAAGAGAACCGGATTTTATTGTTGTCGGATTTTATGATCGTCTTTTGTTATTCAAATTTTTGATTCTCTGTGATGGAGGTACCAGAAGGAGTGGGCCGATATATTTCATCTTCACACCAGACCTTGGGTTAATAAAAATATTGTGATGTGTGTAATTATAATCGGACTCTTACATCACATTTTACGAGAGTTTAAATTATTTTAAATTTTCACCCTTTGGGGGAGGTACTTGATGGAATGGACCGACATTGTCCATTTTCCCACCTGACCTAGTACTGACGCAAATATTAGGATTTGGAAAGTTGGAGTAAAATCGGATTATCGTTTCTCTTTCTGTGCAGATAATACATTTTTTTTAAATTTCGACCTTTTGTTGGGGTGGCACCAGAAGGAGTGGACCGATGTAGCCCATCTGCGAATTCGATCTAAGTTTGACAAAAATATTACGAAATACCATGTTTGGATCAAAGCGGATACCCCCTTCGAGAGTCATCGAGCGCATCAGCCAGACAGACAGTCGGATGGACATCACTAGAACGACTCCAAATGTGCTGAAATGGATTTGATCCTAATTGATCTAAGTTTGACTAAATTATCGTGCGCACCAGCCAGGCAGACAGATGGACGGACATCACTAGAACGACTCCAAATGTCCTAAAATGGATTTGATCCAAAGAGACCTGGGGTATAAAACCGTTAGTTCGACTAGGCACGTCTTGAGCGTATCAAATGATATATACCCTCTCTAGCCACATGGCTGAGCGTATTACTGCCTCTTATACCTTATAAAATTACATTTATAAATCTTTATATAATTTATTTCTGACATGAAGCAGTCATATTCTCAGGGCTGCATTTTTCTAGTTTTACGAAGCTTTTCTGACTCTTTATTGTACTATGCTTATAAATACAGGGTAAGATGAAAAAAACTGCAACCAACTTTAGACTGCTGTGATTTCTAAGCCACTCGTCCGACAGCTGTCAAAATTATTCCAGTGACTGCCCATTGTATTGTTTACAAGCGTACAAAAGCATTTTGTTGAGAATTTTCCAGAAAAAAAGTTATTTGTGATGGAATTCAAGCGTGATAGTGTGATTTCTCTATATTTGACTGGAAAACCACAAGTCGCTATCGTCAGAGCACTCCAGCATTTAAATGTGTGTGTGTCTGGTATCATCGCTTGTTACCGTGATACTGGTAGCGTAGCCCGTCGTCAAGAAAGTGAACGGAAGAAAACAGAAATGGTTCGAAAAGTAAAGAATCGATTTGATCGAAACGCGCGTCGCAGTGGCCAAAAAATGGCTCGTAAGCTGAATATATCGCAATATTCCATTCGGCAAATATTGAAATAAGTGCAAGAAATGCGAGTTTGTAAACAAACAAAATGATCGTGTTTACTTGCCGAAGAGGTCAGCTGAAAATGTGCACCTTCGGTTGGCCACCAGAACTCAAGCGCCGACCATGGTGATTGTGTGGGCCGCCAAAACAGCCGTGGCATCAGAATAAATGCCTTGGGCACGCAAACATTTTGGCCGCAGACCTTAGACATTCCAACAGGACTCAGCACCATAGCACTCAGCACGCGCCATCCAAGAAAATGAGGTTCCTCGCTTTATCTCCAGCGCAAAATGGCCACCAAAATCTCCGGATACCAATCCGTTGGACTATTGTGTCTGCAGTATTTTGGAAAGCAAGGTTGGCACTAAAAAATACCAAAGTGTCGATCACCTCAAGCAAGCGCTTCGCCGGGAATGGGCCAAAATACCGCAGAGCAACATTCGGGCAGCGTGTGACGATTTCATTGGCCGTTTGAAGGCCATAATTCGCGCCAAATCTAAACTTTTTCTAAACTTTGATGATATTTCCGACATTTATGCTTTCATTCAAAAAATGTTTAAAAAATGTAAAAATTACGGCGTTTGACTTGGTTGCAGTTTTTTTTTTTATTTCACCCTGTTTATATGATTACACAAGGTTAGCATTTGCGACCGAAAAAATTTAAATTTGTATTACACTTTTCAAAATTATTGAACGGACCGTATTGAATTCTAGCAAATGATTGTACAAAAAAGTAAAACTGCACTTATATCTTATTAAATTGCCTTCGTATTGGTGTATACAATCTCTATACATAATTTATGTTATTATTTCTATTTCTAGGACATCATATTGGGCTATAACAAGTCCAATTATCGCATGTTATTGCTGCCGACTTTATTCTTCTTCAATGTTTATGCTGCTGTCATTGTGATGATATTGGAAATTTTCTTTCATTTCTGGGCCCACTTTAAGAACGGTGTCAACATGAACAAGGATATATACTATCGCAGTCCTCTGCATGTCATGACCTCACAATTCTGTGCTAGGTGTCGTTCTGAGTCGGAAATGGAGGCAAACATTTTTCGTCATCTTAACAAGCAGATGCGGCTGGCACGACAATCGAAAACATTAAAGAATGTTTCAAAGGCAATTGGTTAATGGAAGAGGGTAGTGTAGTGCCGACAACTATGCCGACAAAATGCCGTTTATGTACGAATAATGCACAAGATATGTAAATCTGTAACAAATTTGCAACAATTTTTTAAACAAATTAAATTATAAATGGATGATAAAAAGAAAAATGTGTGTTTAATTTAATTTTTATAATTTTACTGTGTTCGCGCAGAGGCCATGGGACATTGTGTTCGAATAACATGAAGACGCTGGGGTTCTATGCGTCTATGTTTCCCATCGGTATTACTGTTTTGTTGATACCTATGTGCCTTAACGAATATTAAGGTGTAGGTACATAGTCAGCGTGAAGTCTTCGCATAGCATATTTTGTGACGATTCCTACTGTCGATCTCCCTTATAATTTGGCATTAATATACATAGCCATGATGCCAATCTGCTTATGTACCCCAACCCTATAGGATTAGATACCGAGTCCTTCCCATGGTACGAAGGCTATGTCAAGGTCGATCTCAGTCCCTTCATAAAGCAATGACGTATGGACAATAAATTATGAAACTACACCAACAAAATATAACCAATTCTACTTCGACTGATGCTGGTATGGGCGCCTAGATACCCTCAGTAAACAAAGCTATAACTACGAAGATTACCCCCAACACATCTAAAACGATCTTGAGGTCAGACTCGGACAGCAATTCAGAATCGTCAGCTTCCACTAGACACCGAAGCGGAACAACTTTTTCGGAGACGGCTAGTAACATAGGGATGAATTTTTAAGGTGAGAATACATAAAACGCTTTTTTGACTGGCTTTAGTCAAGGGCTGGCTTCTTCGTTGAGGAACAAAGGAGTTTTGTATTGACATAGTTCAATTTTGGCCTCACGTTCCTTTGTTCTTTTTCGAAGAAACCAGTCAAAACAAGTAAAAAAGCTGTAAGTTCGACCGGGCCGAACTTTTAATACCCTCCACCATTTGGTACAAATTTGGCAATTTCCAAAAAATAAAACCCGTTCAAAATTCTGTTAAAATTTTAAAAATACCGAATTCTTATACGACGACGTGGGCCTGCATAGGCAACTTTTGTCATAAATTATTACAATATTTAAATGCGAAACTTGAAGAAAAATCTGTTTATAATGTAGCTAAAATCGTCAAAATACCGAATATGGGGGGTACCGTTATATGGGGGCTATACGAAGACGTGGACCTGCACAGACAATTTTCTGGCATGGGCTGAAGTATCCATTACGAACTTCACATACGAAATTTGAAACAATCCCTGTAAATAACGTCGCTAAAATCATCAAAAAACGGGGGGTACCGTTATATGGGGGCTACAGGAAGACGTGGACCTACATGGCTCATTCTTTGACTTTGGATGAAGTATCCATTACGAACTTCAAGTACCAAATTTGAAACGATTCCGGTAAACAATGTCGCTAAAATCATCAAAATACCGAATATCGGGGGGTACCGTTATATGGGGGCTATATGAAGACGTGGACCTACATGGCTCATTTTTTGATTTAGGATGTAGTATCCATTACGAACTTCAAATACCAAATTTGAAACGATTCCGGTAAACAATGTCGCTAAAATCATCAAAAAACCGAATATCGGGGGGTACCGTTATATGGGGGCTACAGGAAGACGTGGACCTGCACAGATAATTTTCTGTCTTAGGCTGTAGCATCCATTACAAACTTCAAATGCCAAATTTGAAATAATTCCGGTGAATAATGTCGCTAAAATCATCAAAATACCGAATATCAGGAGGTACCGTTATATGGGGGCTATATGATAACTTGGACCTACATGGCCCATTTACGAACCTAACCTGCCTACTGGGAAAAAATACATGTGTGCAAAATTTTAGCCTTCTATCTCAATTTGTTCGAAAGATAGCGTGATTACAACAGACAGACGGACAGACAGACAGACGGACATGGCTAAATCGTCTTAGAATTTTACGCTGATCAAGAATATATATACTTTGTTGGGTCTGACATGAATATTTCGAGGAGTTACAAACGGAATGACAAAATTAATATACCCTCCATAGTATGGTGGAGGGTATAAAAAGCGTTTTATGTACCCTAATCTTTAGCCAATTTGAGCCGACATGATCGGCGGCGGCTTTCATCTGAAAAAGAAATAGATGCAACACGCCCTCGTTTTACAATCGACTTACACTTACACTTTTGCCTTCAACTAGCAGAACGACACGGACGAGAAGTTTGGGAGGCAACAGAGTTCTACCGACAGGAGTAAGCAATCTCCCAAATTATTGCACATATGGGACCATTAAATCTGAGTCAAAGGACACGAATGCTACTGTAGTCCATGATTCGACCTCTAATCGGGGGTTGACTCCCATAAAATTCGACCTGAGTAGTACCAGCGGCCCTAACACCAATTCGCCGGCAAACACCGACAAGCAGAAGGCACTTGAGATAGGCAGAGCATAGAGCTGCATCTCCATTGATCAAATGGAAGTGTCGACACCAAAAGCACAAAATCCAGGCAGGCAAGAAATAAAAATGCATATCGAGGAGCGGTAAATTACTATAGTCGACATGTCGATGGGGATCCATCGAAACTTACTTATAAGAAATTGCAGCTAATCAGAGCAAACCAGAAGTTCGTTGGGAAATTCGAGAGGACATATCCCAACAGAACTTCCCATAAGCCGGATCCCCAAAAAAGGCAAAGACTGCCGGAAACCATTGCTCACCTTGAGCAATGTCCTATGAGGCTTCAAAACCCTAGGTATCACCCTCCAAATCAAGGGTCAATTGGGTCAATTTCGGTCAATTATTTCCTACAAATCAATATAGCCTATCTCGCCGAATGTAGTGGCCTCAATGCCGGGCAAGTCCCCGTCTCAGCCAGTGGTTGTGATGAGGTCAACTGAGGGGCATCAATCCAAGGCGAAGGATATGGTGACGATGCAGACGGTTAAACAGTCTATCACGTATGCTTGGGTGGCGTCAAGCACAATAATGGTAAAGTTGATCCTGTCGGTAATACTTCGCACAAACCTTGCAATCCAAAGCAGAAACAGCGAGCTGCAGGAGAGCCAGGGTTCTTACTTGCGACATTATGGAATTTTTAGACTTCATAATTGCCACAGTTATTGGTCTGAAATCACTTTGGAAAGACAACAAGGTCGCCACAGTGCTTGACTCAGAGATCACATGCGAAATTGATTCCACCTTTTAGAATGAAGTTAAAGGAGATCCTGTAGCTTGTTGAGAAGCAGAATGCTGATCTAAGTACTATAAACTGCGCTGTGTTTCTCAAAGTAACCACAGAGAAGACGGGAGAGAACTTCTAAGAAGTTGAAGGGGGCTGCTAAGCATAGGGTTGCGAAGAAGTTACTTGGACAAGGAGTCTGTTCTAAGCCTGGTAGAGATTAGTCTGCATCGACATCGCCTTGGTCATCACGAATACCAAAAAATCGGACCTGCCAATAAGTCGGAATATAATAGGTGAAGGTAATAATATTAACAATTGACGCAACGGTACCTGCTAGGGACGCCTGGGATAATGGCGGACCTCCATTTATACGGGGGGTTACAAGATGACAACTTAAAAATCTTCCATCGAAGAAGCTGGTAGAAGATGACACATGGAAATCGGTTGTAAAGAAACTAAGACTATCTGGCCGATAATAAGAGCAGGCTCCCTTCTATCACTTAACAGGTCTGATCTACGAATCGCATACGACTGATCACTGCAGTATGAGATATTTGACCTCAAAATGGGACAACAGTGTCCCTGGCTACTATAGACTATGTGAAGATGAAGCAAGGTATAGGCGATTTAACGTCCACTTTGCAGATGTCCCATTTTATCAAACAGTAGACGTAAACAATTTGGAAGGTGGAAGATAGAAAATCTGGGCATAGATAATGATCTATTACATTCCATTGCTTGTCTTGATTGATAGTTTGTGTTCATTGAAATGCATTTAAAGGCATACTATGTTTTGAATCAGTTTTAAAATGCAATAAATACAATGAAATCAAGGTAACCTTATTTCAAATAATCATTCCCAGCTCTAAATTTTCTGTAATTTACCTTGTCAAATTTAACTGAATAAAATATCGGTTCCCATCTCTGATTTGTGTATATACAAGGTATTTATGAATAAACATTTTGACAATGAGATGTCAAGGGTATAATTTTGAAAAAAAAATTGTAAACATATAATTGCATGACTTTACCTTCTTAGTTATACCATGGAAATAGCTATGGTAAAATGTACCATGCATGAAGTTATTGTGAATATACGATCTAGAATGCCTTTGAATTATTTCTTGACTCAATATACATAATTATTTGACTTTAGATCCCGCATATTGCATTGGATTTTGACCAGAGTATTATAGGTTTTACTGAAATCTTTTGGTGACAATCGTAAAGTTAATAAAATTTCCCCCAATCTATAAATCTTTTATCATGACAAACAAATAAAACATAACATTTGTTAATATATATATTCTTTAATTAGATTACATGTATATTAAAAAAAATAAATGCAATCATCTCTATCACTTTAGTTATATCTTAAATCATCTTAAATATTTTGATATCATTCATTGTCCACCTGAATTATTAATTTGTCTTGATTCAGTTTGTACACATTACAACGTCTGGCTGTATAAAAATAATCAATTATGTTAAAAAAAACAAACAATTGCATATAAATGTTATTAGGTAATTAATGATCTGAGGTAATGGTTAATATTGTTAAACGCAACAAGATTATCTTCCATATCTATTCTATTCTCCTATTTGTGACATCTTTTTAACATTGGGTGAAACTTTGAACTTAGCTTCAGTACAAGCGGTAATATCATCGACGGTTAGACCTTCAGCTACTTCAATGAGTGTTAAGCCAACACCCTTTTCAACTTCGAAAACAGCCTATAAAAAAAAGAATTTTAGTAGAGAATCATCTGCAATGTCCCATTTTTTTAACCTACCTTTTCTGTAATAATTAAATCGACCACCTCTTTGCCAGTCAAAGGCAATGAGCAAGTATCCTTGATTTTAGAAGAACCATTACGGGCATTATGTTCCATGGAAACAATGACTTTACTGCCGGATGCTACCAAATCCATGGCACCTCCCATGCCTTTAACTAGTTTACCCTAAAAATTTGTAAATTTATGTTTTATTTTAGAACATATTGAAGCAAGTTTAATAATTTTTGTTATTCGGCAAACGAGATCTACTTACAGGAATCATCCAGTTAGCTAAATCACCGGTAGCCGATACTTCCATGGCACCCAAAATTGTCAAATCCATGTGACCACCACGAATCATGGCAAAACTGTCATCAGATCCAAAGTAGGAAGCTCCAGGTACAACAGTTACAGTTTCTTTACCAGCATTGATCAAATCAGGATCAATCTTGTCTTTTGTGGGGAATGGTCCCAATCCCAAGATACCATTTTCGGACTGCAATAAAACATTCATGCCCTTGGGAATATAATTGGAGGAGAGTACAGGAATGCCAATGCCCAAATTGGCATACATGCCATCACGGAATTCCACGGCCACACGCTTGGCAATACGTTCACGGATAAGCTGGGCGGCAGATGGTGGTTTCGATTTTTCATCACCATTCTCTGTGATGCGTACTTTTTCAATAGGTTTTTCATAGTTGGTGCCCTTGACGATGCGTTTTACATATATACCGGGAACATGAATATGATCAGGATTCAAAGAACCAGCAGGAACAATCTCTTCCACCTCGGCAACAGTGATTTTAGCAGCACGACACATTGGAGCGTTGAAATTGCGGGCAGCTTTGTTAAAAACTACATTTAAAAATAATAAAAAAAACAGCATTAGTAAAATTTTGTTGCTATAATGGAAATTTCAGGAAATAACCTACTCAAATTGCCCATAGTATCAGCAACATGTGCCTTAACAACAGCATAGTCGGCATAAAGAGCCTCTTCCATTACGTATTTTCTGCCATTGAACTCTTGTACAATCCTTGGTTTACTGGGTATTTCAATGGTACCATCCTTAGCATACTTAATGGGGGCACCACCTTCTTGTATTAATGTGCCATAGCCGGTTGCAGTGAAAAACGCAGGAATGCCAGCACCAGCAGCACGAATTTTTTCAGCCAGTGTACCTTGTGGTGTTATTTCTATGGCCAATTCACCTCCCAAATATTGACTAGACAAATCAGAATTTTCGCCTAAATATGAAAGAATCATCTTGCTGAGTTGTCGTGTTCTCAACAGCTTGCCCAAACCGCAGTTATCAATGCCTAAAATATTAAAAACAAATTTGCCAATTATTTTTTAAAGTTGTAGTGATTGACGTTACTTACCGGCATTATTGGAAACAGCTGTAAGATTCTTCACATTCATCTTTGTGATGGCTTCAATTAGTTTTTCGGGAATACCGCAAAGACCAAAACCTCCAAAGAGAATTTGGGCGCCATCTTTCATATCAGCCAAAGCTTCTTCAGCCGAGTTATAAACTTTATTACTTGCTGATCTACCGCTGGTGGAGTAACATGCAATAAGCTGAAAATGAGGGAAAATACATATGTCATTTTAAAAATGCTTTGGAACACAGATCAAGAATTTTTGTGTTCGAAAAAAACATGTGTCATTTCAAAGCCACTCGTCCGACAGCTGTTAAAATTATTCCAGTGACAGATCATTATATTGTTTACAAGCGTACAAAAGCATTTTGGTGAGAATTTTCCAGAACAAAATTTATTCGTGATTGAATTCAAGCGTGATAGTGTGATTTCTTTATATTTGGCTGGAAAACCACAAGTGGCTATCGTTAGAGCACTCCAGCATTTAAATGTGAATAAATTGTTTGTGTCTCGTATCATCGCTCGTTACCGTGATACTGGTAGCGTAGCCCGACGTCAAGGAAGTAGACGGAAGAAAACAGCAACATCAGCAGAAATGGTTCGAAAAGTAAAGAAGCGACTTGATCGAAACCCGCGTCGCAATGGCCGAAAAATGGCTAGTGACCTGAACATATCGCAATATTCCATTCGACAAATATTGAAAAATGAGCTCGGGGTAAAGCCATTGAAATTTCAAAACGTGCAAGAACTTACACCGCAACAGAAAGAAAATAGACTCAAGAGTTGCTTCGCTTGGCCGAAAGTGGTGAACTGCCGATTTTAATTTTCTCCGATGATGGTGTGGGCCTCCATACGCTCTCCGCTCGTATTAATTCACCGTGGCTTCAGAATGGCCGCAAACCTTAGACACTCAGCACGCGCCACCCAAAAATAGTTACAAAATGAGGTTCCTCGCTTCATTTCCAGCGCACAATGGCCACCAAAATCTCCGGATACCAACCCGTTGGACTATTGTGTCTGGAGCATTTTGGAAAGCAAGGTTAGCAATAAAAAATACCAAAGTGTCGATCACCACAAGCAAGCGCTTCGCCGGGAATAGGCCAAAATGCCGCAGAGCAATATTTGGGCAGCGTGTGACAGTTTCATTGGCCGTTTGAAGGCCATAATTCGTGCCAAAGGTGACCATTCCAAACAAATCTAAACTTCTAAAATTTGATGCTATTTCCAACATTTTTTGCTTTCATTCAATAAAATTAAAAAAAATGTAAAAATTATGGCGTTTGATTTTGTTACAGTTTTTTATCCCACTTATACTTTATGGGATCTAAACTTAATATACCCTCCGTACAATGGTGGAGGGTATAAAAATGAGATACTGATTTTAAACAGGGATGAATAGACCGGAAGCAATTTAAATCAGTTTCCAATGTCACTCGGATATGGGTGAGTATATATCTTCCTCGTTTTTGAGTGGGAGCTTACAAGATCCCACCCCACTCTTCCGCCTCTCCTATCTTACGGATAACAATAGGGGTATTAATAGTCCACCGTAGCATTCGTAACTCTGTAATTCTAACGTCGAATACCGCAGACTGTGTGAGGATGAGGAAGATAATGAAACGATTGAACACCTATTATGACACAGTCCTGTCAAGGGAAAGACTACGAGCTAAGGGGGAACATTCGACTCATGATATCAATGAACATTCAGACACGGATCCCATTTTCATCTGTAACTGATTGCGGCGCCGGAGTTAAAACACGACTCTATTCGACGCTTTTCTCCACCCTTTTTCTCTGCCAATATCTATCACCTTTCCGCTCTCTCTCTATCCTTTTCTTTTCACGCATTTTCACTATCGCAAAGTTATGTGATTTTTAACGAAGTTGAGTTGATAAGGTCTCGTGCTCCAAAATTACAAACTTCCCTGCCCTGCGGGGAAATAAATTGGTTTAAAACTAAGTAAAAATTAGTTTAAAAAAAACCTCTACTCGTTATTTTTTTATTTATTTCCTTTACGCCTAACTATTTAACTATTTTAACGTGGGGATGAGCTATGCAGTGGACAATTGTCCATTCCTGCATTACTTTGAAACTAAATATAAACTAGTTACTTTTAAATTAACTATTAACCAATTACTTTTAAGCCGATTTTCAATCAGGTAAAAATATGTTCAAATAGTTCAAAAAGTTTTTTTATTTATTCATCTATTTACTTATGTATTTTTATACCCTACAACACTATGTGTTGGGGGTATTATAAGTTTGATTGGCCCAAAAATTATGTAACACCACGAAATATTGATTTCCCACATAGGAAAGTATATATGGATCTTCCTATCTCGCCGAGCTGAGTCGATCTAGCTATGTATGTCCGTCCGTCCGTCTGTCCGTCTGTCCGTCTGTCCATGTTAATTTGTAATCACTCTACAGGTCGCAATTATGGTCCGATCTTCACGAAATTTAAAATGGAGGTGGGGCTATGGTCAGAATAGAACCCTATTTCTTTTGGTGATGATCGCATAATATTTAGGGGTTGAAATGGACCAAAAACTGAAAAAAATCCTGATTTTGCACTTGCTCTACAGGTCGCAATTATAGACCAATCGACGCGGAATTTCGCATGTAGCTAGAGTTTAGGGCTGGCAAGAAGCCTACCTATTTGGGTGGTCATCGGATAATATTTAGCGGGTAAAATAGACAATATCTTTTTTGTTGAAAAAATTCAAAATTTTTCATTAAACCGCTAATATTTTAAATCCCGGCGAAATCACAAAGCCATGACAAGGTTACTTCTGATCTTTATATTGATGTTAACATCCAACAAAACGGATATATAGCAAAATATGTGCGATATATATGTTTACCAAAGAAGATATGCTTGAAAAATCTCTTATATGTCGAGAACGGCTGAACTGATTTCGACAGTTCTCATTAATTCAGAATGACCTCTTGGCAGGAAACATAAAACGTCGAAAAAAATCGCATAAAAATATCTCGCTAAAGATGAAAATATTGATTTTGTAAAATTTTCTCATATTTTTTCAATTTTGTCATATTTTTGGCATATTTTCATTTTGATTTGAACATTTGGTAATATTTCTACAGCTAACAAAACTAAGTAGTTAGAATATCAGGATATCATATACAGATCGCATTTATGGCCCGATCCTTACGAAATTTTGCATGGAGATAAGATGAGGGTCAGAATAAAAGCCTATTCTTTTTGAAGATGATCGCCATATATTTAGGGGTTGAAATGGACCAAAAAACTGCAAAATTGTCAGCAGGTCGTAATTATGGGGGTTACCGGACATTGCAAAACCAAGCAGTTTTGGATGGTCATCCCAAAAATATTCAATGTGTGAAATAGTTTGCCAACTTTTGTAGACAAAATACGAAAATGTCCATTCCGGTGACTTTTTGGAGAATTCACAAATACAGGAAAGACACACTTCTGACTATTTCGTTAACGCTGATTTCGTTGAAGAATATAGTCAAATGTCTGTATCTCATATAGATGCGTTTCAGTCAAAAGGCAATAATAAATGTTAATTTTTTGCCACTTCTGAGAGATTATAGGTCTTTGGGAAATATTGGTTCCAGATCTAGGAAGACCATTTAAGTGCAACACCTACCAATAAATAGGAAATGAGCAAATTAGTTAAAGTTGCTATTATTCGAAAATTAGAAAACGAAACGTGGTGGTTTTCTTTTATTAATTGTCACAATATCTTGTGGAATTCTTTCGAGTATCTTGCCTATATAAACTGTATCGTTTACTATAGTGTTGTAGGGTATTCAACGGTCGGCCCCGCTCGACTGTAGCCTTTGCTTACTTGTTTTTTTTTTTTTTGATAATCAAATTTTTTATTTTCTATTTGAAGGAGGAGTGCTATTTACAGATAACCTGGCTGCGCTGTTGTTTGTTTAAGTATTATTGTACGTTGCATTTATATCGAAGTATTTTTGGAAATTTATTATGCGAGTTATTGCAAAGTAGTTTGATATAACCAGTCATCTTTGTTTCTTTAGGCCTGTTTTTCCATTCAAATTGATTGACTTCTAGATGATTTTACAACCAACTTATAGTTAGTTCATAAATGCATTATTCTACAACTAACTACAAATTGGTTGAAAAGTCATCTGAATATCCAGTAGTGTTTACTTCGCTTTTTAATCTCCAGATGACTTTTCAATAAATTTGTAGTTAGTGGTAGAATAATGCATTTATAACTAGCGATTTTCTCAACTGGTTGAAAAAAGTCGCTCTGGGTGGCCTGCTTCTTAATAATCTGTGTTATTTTCACCCATATTAATAAAAGTTATTTCAAAATTTTCAAAACAACAACAAAATAACTGATATCTAAAAAAAACGCCAACACAATTCTACATAGTTAAATCAAGGCCTTATCAATCGTTTTGACGAATAGTTTGTCTATTATGTTAAACTTTTTTTGTCTAAATGACTTATCACAAAATTTTTCCACACTAGTTTATCTACGACTGTTGATATGCTGAGATTAATATAATACTTCGTTCAATTGTAGATAACATCGCCAGACGTTTTTTTTTTTTTTTTTTTTTTGAATTAATCAAATTTCACGATCATTAATTTAGTTGCACGCGCTATACATTATCTGTTATTTGTAGGCAAAGATCAGATGCATTGTTGTGACAGGTGGGGAACTGTGTGAGTAAGTATAACTTTATAACTTTTATAGAAATTACATTGGACATGATTAACAAAGTGTTATACGATATCCCTTACATTACGGAAGCAATTTTCCTGTTCTATTTACTGAAGTACTATTTGTGGATATAACATATTTATTAATTATAATTTGTATACCCTACAACATAAGTGTTTGAGGGTATTATAAGTTTGATTATGTCAAAAATAATGTAACACCTCGAAATACATAGGAAAGTATATTATATGTAGACCAATCGACGCGGAAGTTAGCATGGGCTAGAGCTTAGGACTGGGCAGAAGCCTTCCAATTTGGATGGTCATCGGGTAGTATTTAGTTGGAGAAATAGACCATAACATTTGTGTTAAATAAAAGTACAATTTTCCATTAAACCTCGAGTATTTTTAATTCCGACGAAATCACAAATAGACGAAAAGGTCTATTCTATATATTCTATTCTATATATATCGGATATATATATAGGGAAATATATGCAATGTGTAT